GGGGGGGAAGGTGTCCAGACCCTTCGGTTGAGGGACGCATCTGTGAGAACTGGCTTCAGCCTTCATGGCGGCAGCTGCTTTTACCTGAGCCAAACCCACGGCCTGCCTCCCCTGCAGCCTCAGGCTAGCACACACCCCTGCCGCCCCCCCCCCCGAAGGAGCCACCTCTAGGGCTGCCTTGGGGGTGCTTCTGGAGATGACTTTTGGAGCGTGGATCAGGCGCTCTCCAACTGAGCTGTGGCCCTTCTGCTTGCTCCCCCCCCCCCACGGGTTTGTAAGGCTTTTAGCAGGAGACATCTCGACCCCGTCTGCCCAAGCGGGGTGCCACCCAGGAGAGTTGGTGGCAAACGGCCATGCCAGTTGCTGTGCCAGGATTCTGTCGTTCCTCCCAGGTGGGAATGGAAGCTCCATGCCTCCCTCCCAAGAGGGCATGGGGCAGATCCTGGAATGGCAGCGGGCCAAGGCACGTATCGGTCTCTCTGATGGGTTGCTTACGATTGTGAAGCCAGAAGAGACCAAAACGGCCACTGGATCAGCCCACCCACCCCCAGTGAACCCAGAAATTTATGCTTGGAGCATCTACATTATTTATTTAAAATACTTTTACCCCAATTTTCTCTCTAAAAGGACCCAAGGCGGCTAACCTCATTAAAAGACAATGAGAAAGCTAACAACAATATGCAGACACATCTCTGACAGCTAGTCCTCCAATCTCCATGCAGATGACCATCGGCCAGGGCGCTCCCTACTCTCCTACCAGGTAACCCAGCGCTGTTCCACCCCTGAGCAGCTCTTGCGGTCCTGGTGTCAGAATATCTTCCAAATGTTCCATTAAAATGTCCTTGCCTATAATTCTTGAATCTGTTACCTGGGGTCACAAGGGGAAAAAAAAGCAAGCATCACCTTCCACATGGCAGCCCTTTGAATATTTGAAAACTGCTGTTTGATATCCATCTTTGAACTGGCTCTGCAGCAAGAGACTGAGTAGGAGAGGGAAATGTTGGCCAGTATCCTGTTCGTGCCAGCGCAAGTTAAAGTTACGCTGATGGTAAATATGCTGGGCATTGTGCAATGAATTGCACTGTGGAATTGCACAGTCAACCTCGCATCCTGACCGTGACTGATTGGGCCATGCACCTAGGGAGGCGCTTCCACCTCCCAATAGCACAACTACCCAGTTTGTGCACTCTTGAGTTGCCCGTGAGTAGTCCTTTATCCTTTATCCACCGTACATCCTCACCTGGTCCTGGGGGCCACGCATCAGATAGTCTTCCTCTTAGGTCTGAGGAAGTGGACGTGATCCCCAAAAGCTCACATTCAAATACAGCACTTAGTATTTAAGGTGCAACCGTGTTTTCACTGCTGAGATGTTTCTTATTTCTGTTTCACTTCTGTCGTGGTGCGCTTGCACAGACTAACAGGGCTACTCCTTCAAAAACTTAACCAGTGCCATATTTTTTGCTGAAATTCGGGCTCGTCTCTTCAGGCAAAACTTTTTCCCCTCAAGTTGCTGAGGTGGCCCCCTTCACCTCTTTAATCCTGGGCTAGATCAGCTTGGCTGGAGAGGAAATGTTGAGCACCACTGAGGCCAGGCAGTGGAAAAAAACCCTTCAAAAGCGCCCTAGCAGAGGGGAGGGGAGAGGAAAGCTGCTGACAAAGCTATTGCCTACACAGCCCCCCCTTGCCCCCCCAACCAGAGCAGTGTGTGTGTGTGTGTGGGAGGGGGCAGGTGAGCATCTTTAGGTTTGAAGGCTGTCTCACAGTGTGATGAAATGGCCACAAACTGCATGGCACGGAGCAGCCAGCCCAGCCCCGTTGAAGGCTTAAGGAGTCTTAGGTCAGGCCTTGAAAAACCCTGAGAAAACAAGCAAATGGATCTTGAGTTATTTTTCCACATTGATAAATTAAGCAAATACAGGCAGAGCAGGAAAGCATTGGAGAAATGAAGATGAACCAGCCGGTCACCGTTATGAAACGCTCTGTGCCGAAACCCAAGAATTTTTCTGTGTTGTCCCAAACAATGCACAACCAAAAACAGGTTAAAACATTTCTCAAAAATGGATTTCTTTATTTAATATATTTTTACCCTGCCTTCTTCCTTAAAAGATAAAAAAGTATTTTGAAAATAACAACTTTAGAAAATCATGATTCTTTTAAAAACAGACCGGTGCTCCCTGACAACCCGGCTTCGTCTGGCGTGCCTGCTAGAAGGCAAGGATGGAACCAGCTGGGCTTCCTGCCGAAAGGGACTTGCCCCCTCAAGGTGGTGAAGCAGAGAACGCTCCCCCCACCCCCACCCCTGTTTCATGGATACGCCAGCCTGGTTTCTTGAGGTGGCGAGAACAGTGCGGAGGATTTCAGACTCTGGCCAGGGGCCGAGGAGAGGACTGAGTCCACCAGGAATTCTGGGGCCCAGCCTTCTGTGGCTTTCTGGATCAGAATCGGCACTTTGAACTGAGCGTGGAAGCAAACTGGAAGCCATTACAGTATTTCAGAAGTGGATCCATATGGCCTCGAAAGCACATGTTCTGTCGCCATATGATTTGCTCGTTCTGTATTGGTGCTTTCCAGGGACAAACCTATGTAGAGTTGGCTGTTCTGCTGGTCAAAAGGACTTCCATTTGTCTGGATCCAGACTCAAGAAAAGGCACACAGACACAGTTTATAGGGGCCTTGTCATCCGAAAAGGACCAGGCCTCGCTCAAACTTGGGTGACAAAGGTCTTCCCTGCTGACTTTGCCCACCTGGGCTTTTAAACCAGGCAGAACCCCATTTCTTCTGTGCTGAAAGAATTGGTGCATTGTGTGGCGAAGAGCAAGGGAAGAAATGGGGATCAGCAATATGCCTAGTATTAATTGTGCATATGCTCTCTCTGTGTAGCAGCTCTCAGGACAATTCAGACTGCTACCATTACCATCTGGCACAATATTTTCAGCCTACCTTGCTAGAATTATATGCTGTACAGATCTAAGGGAGTTTGTTTTGAGGATAGCCTTGTGTTGCAGCGGTTAAACTGCAGTATTGCAGTCAAAGACTCTCTGAGTTTGATTCTGATGGCTCAGGTAGCCGGCTTAAGGTTGACTCAGCTCTCCAGCCTTCCAAGGGAGGTGGGTCAGTTGAGTACACAGCTTGCAGGTGGGGTGGGGCAATGTGTAGTCTGCTTAGTTATGTTTTAAGCTGCCCAGAGAGTGGTTTACCTGCTATGGGTGGTATATGAGCACGCTTTGCTTTGCTTTGCTTTGCTTTGCTTTGCTTTGCTTTGCTTTGCTTTGCTTTGCTTTGCTTTGCTTTGCTCTCTCTCCCTCCCTCCATCCGTGAAGGGATATCTATCATCCTGAGGGAGGCTTGGGAAATAGCTGTCAACTCAAGCAAAAGAGTTTTATTCAGAGCTATTTACACCTTATCTCTGCCATCAGTTTGAGCCCCAAACTGGGGGAATGAGTTCAGGTCTTCTGAGTGGCCTATGTGTAGACAGGGGGTGAGGTGACCTTCCTGGCCCCCCCATTCCCCAGGCCCTCCTGCCCCCCATCAGGTCCCCCTCCTGAGCATCGTAGCCACTTAGCCTGTCTCTCTCTCACACACAGGGTCGGCTCAGTTACCCCAGCAGGGTCTTTCTCTTTTCCTTACCTTCTTCCTCCTGTGGTTCCTGGTCCTGACTCTCTTGACTTCTTCCCCAGGTCCTGCGTTTGGGAGCCCAAGGGAAGGCTCTCTTCTGGGGAAGCGTAGCCAGCAGAAACCATGGCCGCTAGGAGCGAGGTTCCTGCTGTGGGCGTGTGAGCCCACGCCCCTCAGCTGCTCCAAGGTCTTCTGGCCCACCCACCCTGCCCAGGGCCACGACCTCTTTCATGTCCTCCTTTCGGCAAGAAACCTCTTTGGCGGGTCTCTCTCCACCCCCACCCCCCCAATCCCTGCATCCCCTCCTTTCCGGGTCCACCTCACCTCCTGGCCCAAGGGAAGAGGCGGTGCTGGCGTGGCAACCAAGAGGAGGGATGCGCCCTGTGCCCACCGGGTGCTCTTGGCAGCTCTCTCCCTGTTGGCCCCAGCTCACCCACTCCTCCTGCCTATTAGGTATGGAGGCTGAGGACTTGGCGTGAGGACAAGGTGTTCATCAGCAGCCACTGTCCGCCTGGGCCGGGTGTAGCTTCTTAGCTGGAGACAGCTGGAGCCTGCCGTCTGCAAGACGCTCATGGGGAAAGGGCGCGTCTTCAGTCCCCTCTTTGGCCATGGGACTTCTGACCCATCTCTCTAAACCAAAGGTGGTCTTGTCAGGCACTCTCTCGTGGCCCGGGGCAGTGGTCCTATGCTGAGCTTGTAACCCCTGAAGAGAATTAGTGGCTCTAGAGATGGGAAGCGAGGCAGCCCAAGGAAGAGGAGGAAGAGGAAAGAGCTTCAACGTCCTTTGCAGAAGCCCTTAGGCCAAGCTGCTCCAGGTGCCAGAGACCTGCTTCTCTGTAACCAGGAGGAGGAGGAGGAGGAGGAGGAAAAAACAAGGAGCTCACAGAGGGGAGGAAGCACACACGCTAGCAAGTGGTCCATCGTTATCCCTTGCTTCAGATCACTCACAAGACCAGGTGGTGCTCTGTTCAAACATCTCTTGATGTGTTGGGGTTGCCGGCCATTACAGAGAAACACCTCTGCACTGAACCACGTGGGCCTTGAGACCCACTGGCACTGGGGAGAGGCTGATGCCCTTGAAGGGCACCCCTCCCTCTCTTCCTTGACATCTGAACGTGGCCCCAGAGGCCTGGCGACCCATCCTGGCTGATCTCTGCTTTGGGATTTGCATGAGCCAGGGGTTCCTGCCCTTCCCGCTCCAGCTGTTTTGGTGTGTTTCAGAAATCTAGATACTGCTCAGCGATTTCCTGGAAAAAGTGGCACCGCTCTCCGGGGCTTGTGCCTGGTGGCAGGGCTCTTGCCCCCCCTTCCCAGCCCCACTCCGCTGTGCCTGGCTCCCACCCCACCCCATGTCTGACGTGTGGGCCCCTGTGCTTCCTCCACAGTCATCTACATCTGTGGCCCCCTGGAGATGCTGCACCAGATCTTGCGCCTGGCCCAGGAGGAGAGCATGACGGGTGGCGACTACGTGTTCTTCTACGTGGATGTCTTTGGCGAAAGCCTGCGTGCGGAAGGGAGCCGCGAGAGAGCCAAGCCCTGGCAGAGCAGGGAGGGCCAGGACCCCGGGGGCCTGCGGGAGGCCTTCCGGGTGAGTGCCGGACTC